AACAAAGTAATAATTTGAAATAAAATATTAGTTTATTTTAATTAATATTTTAAATAAGTTTATATTTTGTGCCTCAAGAATAATGTTAAAATCGATTGTTTTATTAATTACAATATATGGATATTCATCAGGCCATCTAATAGTAATATTTATTTAAAATGGTTCACTGTGTTTATAACAACTAAATTGTTTTTATAGAAAAATAATGATGACTTTCAATCAGAAAATTTAAAACAAACTAACAGTAAGTATAAATATACACAATGAGATCATATTTGACGGGTAATTTAATATACTGATCAAATGTGATATTATTGAATAGATGCTAACCAGGAGTTTCCGGACGACTGGGACCTTCAGTTCATTTTATTCACTCGCGATAATAGAGAGAATCCGAACCTAACTATATTGCCATTCAATGTCAGTGACAGTGCTATCAAAAGCACGTCATTTGATTCGCAAAAAGAAACCAAATTCATAACCCATGGATGGATCAGTGGATTCAATATAACTGATTCTTCGGGAGTGCTTTGGATGAGAGTAATCATTAATTTTAAAATATTTTCAATATTCTAGTATTTTTAAGAGTTATCATCATTATAATTGTGTAATTCTAATGTAAAATTTATAATATTATATTCTTATGATAACAATTATATAGCATAATAACTTAGATATGCTATACTGTATACGATAGTAAAAATATACTGTAAAATTGTTTTGCAGAATATGACAAATGTTATACTGGACCAATTGGATGGTAATATATTTTGTGTGGACTGGTCTAAAGTGGCGTCAGATATACTATATTTCCCGGTGGTTCCCAACACCCAAGTTGTCGGACAAATGATCGGATATTTTATCGATCGTTTGGTTAACGCAACGAACACTTCGTTAAATGATATTCATCTGATCGGTCACAGTATGGGCGCACATGTCATGGGCTTTGCGGGACAGTCTTTAGCACCCAATAAGGTGTCGCATATCTCAGGCCTAGACCCGGCCGGACCCGGGTTACTTTTTTCGTTTTGCCCTCGCTTATTAAACTCCCAATTTGTGATACATTTATAGCTACGAGTTAATAGAAAACATTATTATTTTCTAGATATTTATATAAATATCCTATATATGAAATACCCATTATAAATAATTTAGTAACTTGATAAACAATTTTATAAGAGTTGTAGAAATTGAGTTAAAACTGATTGTTAACATTGAAATTCTTTTATATATCGCTGTCTGCTTACAGTAACAAACTTAAAACGGTGTCGTATATGAATTTGATAAACACATGTCTAGTGCCAAGTAAATTTATTTTGAAATAATTTGAATCATATCTAAAACCGATCCAAATCTTATAAGAAGTCGCCAGTAACTCTACAAACATTAATCTACAATTGCACTATAATATAAACTCAAGCTCTACGTAATCAAGAGTATTTTCTAAATATTGATTACGATTATTTGTGCACATTCAGTACTAAAATAATCAAAAGTTGACGGAAATTTCCAATATTTAAAACAATTTATAAAAATTGATAATATGTACTGTACCAAACAATAATTATAGTAGAGATAAATAATTTATGAAAAATATATGATATATAAGTTATATAATATAACTGTGTGGAGGGTTGACTAAGTTATAAGATGTACTGCACTCTAGGCAGTAGAGATACTAGAATAAATAATTCCTAGTACATTTATCTGCCCTTAAAATCGTTGAAACTATGGCATTATACCGGTATTATTAATTTATAAACTAGTGAAAATTATAAATTAAGGACTTTTGATATTTTACAAAAAAGTTCATTATTTGGAAATAACTGTAGTAGAGTACCATTTGATAAATACTGTTTTCACATTAAAATACTTTCAAGGAAATATTTTTTACATATTTTTGTTGAATATAAAGCAATACCGAACTTAATGTTCTTGATTAGATATCGAAATGAATACTGTAGATAAAACATCAAAATACTTATTCAATTAGTTTATTCTTCAATAATTAAAATCTTAAGTGTTTTGCAAACTTATCTGTTTTGCATTCAAATCACTTTACTTATTATGATAATTATTTTACAAATTAACATAATTATAATTTGTTAATATTATGAAAATTATTAATATATACAATATAACTTTATTTATATTAATTCATATATTTTGTAATGTTAATTGCGAAATGAAAATATCAATATTTTAATTTATACCTTTCATATTTTAAATTATAAGTCTAAGAATTTTACAGCATTTTTTTTTATTAACGGTAATATAATAAAAATTATTAAAACAAATAATTGAAGTTCTTGTATTATAGAAAATTATAAATATATTTAGTTTTCAAATACAGTATATTACATACAGTACATTATATTGATTTAATACAAATTTATGATTTAATAAATATTCTGTATCCAAGAATATTCTCTGAAATGGATTTATTTGCCGTAATTTACACGTTATTGATGTGAGAATATAATGTAACATATAAAGTGTTACAATAAAAATGTATTAAAGAACCCTTTTGATAATAATATAAGCAAAACATGTGACAATTACACCCACACTCCCACACTCGCGTAACAGTGTTTTTGTTACACTCCTAATGTTGAGCTAATGTTTACTAAACTTTTCAAAAGTCATGAATTGATTTGTGGTTTCATTTAGTTATCATTTAAATGTATTTTTTGGGTAAATGTTTGCATTGAGATCAACCACTACTCATGAGTGCTTATTGTCGAGTGTTTACCACCAATTTGTGTCCAAAATCTTGGATAAAATGGTCGACAATGAATGGTATGTCGATGTCCTCGAGGAATAGCCGGTGTTTACTGTCCACACGTGTCGGACACCAAACGGATTCAACACATGATATCAAACGCCGAGTGATGAAGAGGTTGAGTCCGGAAGAGGATCTCATGAGTCGCTTATACGGCAAAGAAGTGGTGATCTTCGAGTCGACTGATCACACGTTTTACCGCTATTTGTCGGTCGGATCGTTGTTTCAGTTCTTAGTTCTGGTGATCCTCTGCAATGTGGGTCTCTTCGCGTACGTCAGACATCCAGACCGTGGGATCAACACCACTGATGGGATCAACACCACTGATGGGATCAACACCACTGATGGGATCAACACCACTGACACCACCGAAGACCGCACACTGTCGTCGCCACAGAAGTTTGGCCGCATCTATGAGTTGAATAAGAAGTACGTGTGGATCAGCTTAGGACTGGTGACTGTGGGCCACGTAGTGCTGGTGGCGGCGCTCCTGTATCTCATCAGATCCGTCAACACTATTGTGCTTCATTTGAAGCATACCGGCGCTGATAGTGTGACCATTCATTGCTATTCGCTGTTTGGTTTGCCTAACATTTACCACAAACACCACTTCCCACTGCGAGAGGTGTCGGCGCTCACGCGTAGGACTGATAAAAGTCGACGATTTATAACAATTAAAGCGAAGGACAGACTCTTGAGGTTTAGGGCTGACAGTAGGGCTCACTTCCCGCAGCCGCAGCTCTTTGACGAGACTATCGGTGCGTTGAGAAAGTTGTGATCATTTAGTCGCTCATAATAGGCATCAATACTGTATTTCCTACGAAACTACTGTTTATTATAACACATAATAGGTTGCAATTAAAAGTGATTTTTGTATACCGTATGAAAACAAATGTAATTTTGTTTCATTCATTATATTGAATTGAAATTAATTCAAATTGATAATAAGTGTTAAGAGTTTGAACTTAAATCCAGAATTTTTAATTGATTTAATAAAGTGTTGTTAAGATGATATATTTTGGATTAAAAAATGCCCGTGGGTATTCATGATTTATTGTAATTATTTGATAATTCTTGAATATTGAATAGTCTACACGTTTGTTAACACACTTGAAAGCCATTAGATTTGTAGCAAAGTTTTGATGATTTTTGTTCGCGAACTCTATGGGAGACGAGAAGATTACTTGTTATAATAAAATGCAAAATTAAATTTAAGTTAAATTAATTACTTGCTGTCGATGTCACTCATGAAGTTAACCTGAATAGTACTGATACTATCACTGCCCAAACCAAGTGAGGTGACCTTGGCATTGGTCACTACTCCCAGCTCCTGATCCATGACATGAAGATTAGTGTAAATCTGCTCATTTGGTCCCAAATTTAAGGTCATCTCGATTTTGGTTTCTATTTGTCCGTAAAGTGTAATCTCTATGATCTCTCCCAACAGAGGCTTTTTCGACACTTCGATCTGATTAATGAGAAAATGTTAATTTAGAAATTAATTCAATTTAGAGTTAATTATAATTTATACCACAATTTGGTAATGAAATAGACAGTAATCATACGATGCACTCGTTTGGATGAACATCTCGTTTGGAGGGTTTGTTTGATTGAGTTTATTATCGGTGTTGTCGTAATACTTTAAATCCAGTTCCAAGGGTTGGGCCAGAGAAGCGCACTTTCCAGCATTAAAGTCATCTAGGTCTTGACAATTGTATGCTATGTATTGACAGTTTTTAGGCGTAATCACGGGATATATATATGCCATTTCATGGGAGCAAAAAATTAAATGCTCAATTGTCACTGAATTACGAGACAATTAAATGAATTATTATTTGATATATATATATATATGTACTTGTTTACTAGTAAACAAACCTATTATATTAGTATTACAGGTGTTCTTGGTATTTTTCTTAATGAGCTCACCACACGCCGGCTGATAATTACCTGGTTTGCAAAGTTAGAAAATTATCTTGATATTTTAACAGAATATAATGTGTGTTGGATTATGATCGATGATTGTGCCTGTACAGTGTACACTAACCTCCATTCAGTCTGAAGTCGTAGTGCCCTAAAGATGCCTTATTTCCCAACAATCCAACAATACTTATGTCTATAAATAGATATGAATTACTGAAATACAATTTCTACAACAATCAGTATATTGTGGATAAGTAGAGATCAGACCTCCTTCATAATCAATGCCAGACGAGGTATGGGTGCAAACCACTAGATTTGCGTCGTTTCTACTGAGTCGTGGGTCTCCGTCGCCAAACCCGGGTCCGGCCGGGTCTAGGCCTGAGATATGCGACACCTTATTGGGTGCTAAAGACTGTCCCGCAAAGCCCATGACATGTGCGCCCATACTGTGACCGATCAGATGAATATCATTTAACGAAGCGTTCGTTGCGTTAACCAAACGATTAATAAAATATCCGATCATTTGTCCGACAACTTGGGTGTTGGGAACCACCGGGAAATATAGTACATCTGACGCCACTTTAGACCAGTCCACACAAAATACATTACCATCCAATTGGTCCAGTATAACATTTGTCATATTCTACAAAACAATTTTATTATACAGTATATCTATTATGCTACATAATTGTTATCATAAGAATATCTATATTATAGATTCTATAGAATCTACTAACTTATAAGTTAGTATAATATTATAAATTTTACATTAGAATTACACAATTAGCATGGTGATAACTCTTAAAAATACTAGAATATTGAAAATATTATAAAATTAATGATTACTCTCATCCAAAGCACTCCCGAAGAATCAGTTATATTGAATCCACTGATCCATCCATGGGTTATGAATTTGGTTTCTTTTTGCGGATCAAATGATGTGCTTTTAATATCACTGTCACTGGCATTGAATGGCAATATAGTGAGGTTCGGATTCTCTCTATTATCACGAGTGAATAAAATGAACTGAAGGTCCCAGTCGTCCGGAAACTCCTGGTTAGCATCTATTCAATTAATATCACATTTGATCAGTATATTAAGTTACCCGTCAAATAATGTGTATATTTATACTTACTGTTAGTTTGTTTTAAATTTTCTGATTGAAAGTCATCATTATTTTTCTATAAAAACAATTTAGTTGTTATAAACGCAGTGAACCATTTTAAATAAATATTACTATTAGATAGCCTGTACTTATAGGTATATAACATTAATTATTTTGTTAGCTAAAATTGTAATAAGAACTCCGTGTTTTATATTTGAATAAATTTTATAATTAATTTTATTTGATTATAAAATAAAGTTTAATAATGAAACAAATGTTCAGACTTATATTTGTACTGTATTTTTAGAAATTTTATTATAAATTTATGATACAATTTTTATACAATTTAATTAGTTTTGATAACAAATTATAAAATATTTTATTTCAAATTATTACTTTGTTATGTTCAGACTTATATTTGTACTGTATTTTTAGAAATTTTATTATAAATTTATGATACAATTTTTATACAATTTAATTAGTTTTGATAACAAATTATAATATTTTTTATGAGTTTGAGATGGAAATTGAAGTTAACTTAATGTAATTCATTACTATTTATCTAACATTTACAGTATATGCTTGTACAGTACAGTACAGTACAGTACGGGATGTCAAAATTCTTGGTTGTTTAGTAATGTAAAACATTGACACTCAATTTTATAATGTATTGTTTTAATAAAAACTTATATCATGCAATCATACAATCATACAATCTCTTTATACCAGAATTTCTGATTTAGAAATAAAGTACTGTATTAAGATTAACACCAAGGTAAACATGAAGTTCATGTCATGAACACTAAATTAAGAAATTGATTTATAATTTGTTAATATTTTTTAATATTCAATTTTATGTGTTTCTATTGAATGAAAAATATTGTATTAAACATAAGATTTGCATAATTTTATAAAATTTTACATAAAATAGAGTTTAATAACTAATAAATGATTGAATAAACTCTTGAATTGAAACCAAAACTTTGAGAATAAGGGAAGGAATGGCTATTATTTGTTGAGTAATCCCTTCATTGCATTCAAACCCTCGGATGGAGTCCTCATTGGATTCACTGATCTCTTGAACGGACTCTTCGTGGCCNGAATTGAAACCAAAACTTTGAGAATAAGGGAAGGAATGGCTATTATTTGTTGAGTAATCCCTTCATTGCATTCAAACCCTCGGATGGAGTCCTCATTGGATTCACTGATCTCTTGAACGGACTCTTCGTGGCCCTGAAGATGATAACAGTGACGGAGCCGTAAAAGTAGCGAATGTTTGTATCTTTCGTTGGCGAATATGTGGCGCCAAATGCCTGACCGACGACACAATGCCAGGTCAGGCCCCGACGCCTATCCATCCCCTCCTCGATCAGAGACGACACCACATCGAAGGCCTGGCTTTTGGTGAACGCCTGGTCCACCACTTCCTCCACAATGTCTTTGAGTCTCTGATCCAAGTGTTCACTCGATTCGTGGAATCGCTTTCTGATGGTCTCAACACTTGCAGACACTTCCCGCTGCTCTTG